CTTTCAATTGTCATCCTGCAGAACAAGTAAAGTTGAAAAGCCATTAAATTGGCAATATCCATAATCTAGAAAAATAAATCTCATCTCTTTCATAAATATGTGCACACAAATGGATGATACAAGCACGGCAGAGACACAGTCACGATAATTATTAAATCGACTAAATGTTGAAAAGTTCATTAAAGTCGAAGAGAGAAATGCTACTGAAAAACCATCTTAATAATGAGAAAATATCTAAAAATGCATACGGCATGGTGTTAGGGTAAACACACTCAGGCTTCTGTTGGAGGCAAATGTTATATTTTGCAGATTGTCTCAGATTTCAGTTAAATAGTTAATATATGTGTTCCCCCCATTTCCTTAAATTGATGAAGAACCGGTAGTTAAATTTTTTCACAATCGTATGAATAGGCCTTGAATTTCCATTGCATTTTACATAGCCTTGCTTTCCAAAGGAAATTCGTATCCTGTCCTTCAACACCATAACGAAATAGGTTGAATATATATATATATATATAATCTCGAAAAATAAGCAGCCAATAGCACAAAAATAAGCCCAGATAAACAAGCCCCTATTGTGCGTTATTATCCACAATGGCTGGTCATTTTTTTTCCATAAGGAGACATCACAGTTGAACAATAATGGATTGAGAAGACAAGTAAATTCTGGAAAGTTACGTGATCAGGCATGCCTATTGAGGCATGGAGAGTAATGCGTTTTTTTGTTATTCGAAACCTGTTGGACGACCGAGATGATGAGACGAAGTGGAAACGGCAGTTATGTTCAAATTAGGTTTATAAAAGCTGTAAAAAACGGACTTGTTGGAGTCAACCGCTAAGGGAGAAAGACTAAAATGAATTTAAGGATGATGCACAAATACTTTGGAATTTTCTCACCTCCCTCTCCGATGGTTTTAAAACTAAAATATTTTCATCCCATAGAAATAAGGAAAATCCGGGTTTCGAGGAATTCCTTAGTGATATATTGTGACATGGCTCTCCATTTCGAAAGGAAAGTTGGTAGAAATGAATTCATGATGGGGTCTCACCGGAAACCGAAGAGGATTGCTCCTTAGGAAAGACTGTTGGATTGTGCGAAGAGGTCCTCGGCTCACCGCCCTGCGACCCCGATGAGTCTTAGCTTTCGTTTGTATTGTACTCTATTTCGTAAAGTATGGATTCTTGCCCTGATTATGTCTGTCACGGCGGTACAGACTATAGCTTAGCACAGGTTCATCGGGATCGCAGGACAGTGAGCCGATGACGTCTTCGTACAATACAGCAGTCATCACAACGTGCTAGTCTTCCTTCGGTTGTCGGTGAGACTCCATCATGAATTCCTCTCCACCAAATTTTTCGTCAAAATGGAAACTCATGTCACATTATATCACTAGTGTATTCTTTGAAGCCCAGTTTTTCTTCATATCTTCAAATTAAATAATAACTTTAATTTCACCTAAACAAATCTAACCATAACGAAAATACTTAATCAAAATTTACTGATAGCATAATTAGCGAAGAGGCCTGGTTTGCTCGGGAATTCACGTCAACGAATGGTATCCATGGTTGTCGGCATTTGGCACAGTGTTAGCATTCCGCAACGATACGCACGACTCGGCTTCGAGTCCCGTTTGAGATCTGATGAGATCAAGACAAAGTCGAAACTGCGGGCCAGGTTGAGTGATGAAACTTCCTGGGAGGCAAGGTCGAGTCAAATTTAATGCTATCGTGAGGCCTTATCACAGAATTGTGGAGTTAATTCCAGTGTCCTTCTATAAATTAGTATGGGCGATCAAGTGTGACTAGATTTTTAGAAAGGGTAAATAGCCCAGGTCCCGTCGAAGGTGGGACTCAAATTTCAATTATAAGAACGTGTTTCTTCTATCCAATGTTTAAAAGCATAACACATGATATGGATATAGGCCAGTCATTGGCATTGAATGATAAAAACGAATTGTTCATCACAAGAGGCAAATTCGGCTCATAGGCAGGACAAGCAAACTAAAATTAATTTCGGAGACTCTCTGTCTACGAGAGCAAATCGAGAGGGTAAGATGGATAGCCGATTCGGTAAATGGACAATGAAAGAAAGGAAGAACATACAAAAGAGAATGCCTATTTGAGAAGCTAGGCTAAGTGAAGTTAAATGGAAACCTAAAGGGAAAAATTCAACTATGCGACCTGGGGTGACTGAAATTCTTATTCAAGCTTTAATGATGGTTTGGAAACCTACTCTAAAACGAATAAAAAAGGCAGATTGAGGTGAAAATATCATTTTTCAGCAGAGCTGTGAGTTGAAAGTCATGCTGGCCGAGCATCTCAACCAGGCTATGATGGTCAAGTCAAATGGATAGCATGTTGGCCTGTTATCCCTCGTCCCGGAGTCGAATTTCACTGAAAGAGTTGATCAGTTTCGAAACACCATATGAAATTAGTGCATATTCACAACATACACACATACAACCATACATGCATCTTTAAATGATGTAAATACAGGCGCAATGATATGCACGTGATAATTTCATTTATGATGGGAACAATCTTTCGCTCAAATGACAATCCTTCCATAAACAAATGAAAATTTGGCACAAAGCTTAAATTGTAGCAAATAGTTTCTCTTTCTACTCACCTCCAGGCAAGTCATTGTCCGAATCTAACGACTTCCTGCCTGACGAAGCCAGTCGTTTCTGCAGTTGTTGACTCATCTGTTTGGAGCGTAGCTCTTCTTCCCTTTGTTCGTCCAGCCCGGCTGCGCTGACCCGTTGCTGAGCCCTTCTCTCGCCTTCCCAGTCAGACGTTCGCTCAGCATGACACAGAGACTCATAGCTGCTACGACCCGTGGACTCTGCTGGCGCCCTCCTGTCCGGCTCCAATGGTTGTTGATCCTTTGTCTTATCTTCTTCTCTCCTTTGTCTGTTCCTTTCGGCATATTCATTCGCCTCAGTCCAGTCTCGTTCCACTGACCGAGCTCCAGGCGATCGGATACCATTTCTAGCCGTCCACTCTTGATTCTCCACTGCCGCCAACCCATCCTTGGCTTGCGTCTCGACTGTCCGAATCCGGTCACTCGAGCTGGGTAGCTGAATAAAGCCAAAACAGCACAAAGTGAAGAAATTAGATAAACTAAAGGCTGGAAAACTACCACCAGATTCCTGGATAGATAGTAAGTAGGTTTTGAGGCTCTGAGTAGATTATGAATAAGCACTAGCATCAATTAGGTCGTGTAGGGCCGTAAGCAAGGGCCGAAAGCAGAATTTCTCACAAGGAAACAAGTATGCCGCAAATTGTCATTGCATTTCACGTTAAAAGGCTTTTATCATCCAGACTGAGCTTCAGTCTCGACCTCGCCTGAGTCTGATAAACACCTCTAACCGGGTTGATTGACCTCGTTGTTGTAACTTGGTCTTGTTGTCAGGGCGACTTAGTAGAACGTACCTAGTCCGAAGTCGTCTGCCATAGTAGTTGTCATAATTCCCAGCATCAGATAGTGGACTTGGTACATTCTCAAACTTTTCACCGGCATCGTAGTCGGTATCACCAGTGAGTTTTGCCATTCTCCGCACCAAACTACGAACTCGTCAAAGAGACAAGTGAAGTCAATCCCTTGACAAACGTTCTGCCGAAAATGGTTACACTATCCCTCCTCTTTCTGTCCTGGTCCATCTATCAACTCTTTACCCTCTTATCCCGTTGCCGCCCTATCACAACTTCTCACTTGTTTACATTCCACTCGTCAAAATGTGTGTTCTTATGTGGCAAATCTAGTGTGGCCTCATCACACCTGCTATTCACCCCGACCCCCTCTCCTTTGATCGGCTAATCAGACTCAGGCCTCCAATCCGGATCCCCCTCATGGTCCTGTATATCCGTTCCTTATCGTTCAGGCAGACCGATTTTTCACTCGGTTCCAGTCCCAGTGTGCGTTTCACTCCAGGCGCTATTTCTCAAGGCCCTAGAAGCACGTACACAGTCGCCTCACTGAACAGAGCGCCTAAGTTCTGATTGCCATGCTTGCAGATATAAAGTATTACCTTCAAGGGTCATCTCCTTGACTAAACCCGTGTTGCCTGAGCAAATTGTGGACGCTTATCTCTAGTCGCATGCGGCATCTCAAGTGGATTTCTAGTACTTCTTGGCCATAACTTCGAATTTCTGTGACAGTTTGCTTATCAGTCTGCCCCGCTCCCTGACTGCCAGGACCCCAAAGTTGTACCAGTTTATTCGAAATGGACATCACTCACTGACAACGTCTTCGCTTGATTCCCGATTGATTTCTTGAGTTTCAAACATATAAACTTTACCTATTTGTGTGTTTCTTCATATTTGTTGTTAATACCGGAAATTATGATATCTACTATGGCAGAGGACTTAGGACTAGGTGTGTTATACTAAGTATCCCTGAAAACAAGACTAAGTTGCGACAACGAGGTCAACCCACTTATATACATCGAAAGGAGACTGCGATCATACCAGACACCACAACATCTTGGTCTTCATAACCTCTAACGGGTTTCGAAATCAGGTTAAGTTTCTACTCTACCACACAGCCACAGATTCTAATAAGCTATAGGGCAGGGCAAGCTAGGCTGCTCTCAATATATCTAAATTGAACCTGCATTTGTTATGACAATCAATGATCATACTATCCGCATAGGAGGGATATTTTAAACTATCGGTAGATCCATCTACTCACAACGAAATGTCGTTAATTGTGATGGTAAAGAAAAGTTTGCCATTAGGACAACCCATTTTGAGTGTGAAGTATGAGATGTCTGGGTTTTTGCTACTTTATGCGCATTACTCGGTAGCTAACAAAGGGATCAACATAGCCGAGTCTCAGCCAAATTTGTCGACACCCTTGAGACAGATTTTATCGGCTCTTCCAATCTGGTAGGTAGATGCAAGTACCTTCACCGGCTAATGGGAGCACTCATACAAAACAACCAAACTAAGCTTGGTGTTTTGTATGCCTGGTGGGTCAGTATATCTTCACAGAAAAGTTTGAAATAAAATTTTTTTTCATTTTTTATATAATATAATAATATTTATATTATTACATTATATTATATAAATATTATATTATTGTTTCATTATATTATGTTATTTGTTAATCATTTGTATTATTTTATTTCTAGAAAGGAAGTCCTCGAAATATAAATTATTTTGTTATCTTTCATACTATGATCTGTTGATCTACATGGCGTCTGATCAGTAAAGTGTTTTGTCAAGACCCAGAGAACTTGCCAAAATTGAGATGGAAAACGGAAATCTCTTACTTCGGCATATAAGAGTCACAAAAAGGCTTAATTAATTGGAAGTTTGTTGTTCGATCGACATTTAGCTGATAAGGCCCATAATAGAGGCCTGGAGTTGTATATATATATATATAAACAAATTGAGAAAGAGAGAGAGAAGAATACGTCAGCAATATGTCATTAGGTAGAGAGTAAATAGGGAACTTTTACCATTCAAGTTAGAATAAAGTCATGTAATGAACTAAATCGGAGAGACCTTCTTAGATTAAGTTGTTTTCAGCTCTGAACACGGGAAATAACAATTCGGTGCAAACACGACAAAGAGCATAAGTTCCAACGACAGCTTTAACGTACCTCTGTAGCCCAAACTGTCGAAACAAGTAAGCAAACTTGAAAATAAAACAAAATGTCACCTTAAATCAAGTTGAAAAAGCTCATCCATCTTAGTGGACTACAAACCAAGTCCAAGTTCCGCCCTGCGGTTCAAAGAGGAAAGTTCCTGTATTGAAATGGCCAGCTTCTCACTTGCCTAGTCTTCAACTATCTTCCATGTTTCATCAATTTCATACAATTTTTCTAATACCCATCTCTCCTCTTATGACAGTTTTACTTACACATAGTTTCATCTTGGAGTGTGTCTGACCTCTTGGTCCCATAAATATCCTTTTTGGCCATTTATCAGCTCCTATTGGCACATCTCAACCTAACCCCAAGATTCATTTTATTCTCTTTTTGCCGTCTCACAAGTTTTTATTCTGTACGCCTAGTTTGCTTCTCTTTCACAACTAATTATAATCCCGATTTAGCTTTTAGAACAGGGTTGGTATTTCAAACAATTCAGTTTTCTCTCTCTTATCCTAGCCATCACGTCCGCTTCTTACTTGCAAGTAATTGGTTTAAGAGGAGACCAAAACCCCTAATCTTCTCGCATGGTCCAACATTTTGAGACATTAACTGAAACGTTCGGCGTGGCATTCACGAGTTGGAGTCCGCAGTCCACATTTACATAAATACATACAC